TAAAGTTCAAAGGTAGCGCTAGCTTTTTTACAGAAAGAAATGCTCGATTTACAATGAAATATTTCAGCGTCCTACATGTACACTAGGCATATGTGGGTTAATGTTAGCGCTTGCGAATTGTGATACGGCGGATGTGCCGATCACTTTCCGTCAGAGTTATAAAATGCAGACTCGAGATCCCTTTGCCGGCTGCCAATCTCTTCTTTCAGCGCAATAAAAATACCAGTCAACTTGCGTGAACAGTACACTCACAGCGAACCAGTTACAGAATGTACTATCCCAGAAATGTGCCCGCGGGATCAACTTTGTGCACGCGGCGTACGATGCATCCAGTGCTCCCGCCGGTTTCTGAAGCATAGTCACGGAGGAAACCGGAAAAAACTTTGTTCTAGGTGTGCAAGCATTATAGTTATTGGCACCGTTTACGACACGGCAATTCATGCGTGACATTTCGAAGCACTGCCGCTCATAAGTCGGCTGCTGCACGGAGCACGCCATTTCCTTTCGTTCATTCCCGCACCGTACCACCAGCTCAGTGCACGTTTTCTATGGGAATGGAAGGAGCACGAAAATTGCATTTTCCTTAAGCAACCGCGAAACGCTTCTGTGAGCACTGTCAAGTATTTCGTATATGCGCGTTTCCCCGGCGTTTAGGCTACGTCAATCAGCGAGCCTGACCTTGAAAGCCTCTATTGCTTTGTCCCTGTTCTCATTAAAAAAGGACACGATAACAAGCACATACACTAAAACAAAAAAACTTGACGAACGCCATTGTTACTTCGTATGCGTGGTCTAGCATTACGTTCTTATGGGTCGGATGTGCGGCTTCTACGCCTGCCCGTGCACTAGATTGAACGATAAGAGAGAAAGCATCGACACGCAGAAATGAATAATACATGGCGCGATTTAAGTGCCCAAACCACCGATATGATTATAATAGATGCCCTAGTGAAGGCATTTGTATAATTCTATGAACCACCATCTTGCGATACATTTACCCGAAAGTGTATCATTGAGCTACAAACTTTGCAGCAACTTCAGGGAGCTTAAAGAACCCCAGGTCGTCTAAATTTTCAAAGCCCTCCACTACAGCGTCTCTCACAATCATGTGGTGGTTTTGGGACATTAAATTTGACATACCAATTATCAAGGAACCTCGTGAAAAAGACATGGCTCCGGTCTACCAAGTCTAACGTAACATTTTCCCCTAATTGTGTATAGTTACAGGTAAATGATAAGCAGAATGCTGTGCTCCGAGAGTGGTATACGTGAGGATGCAGGTGATCTGTACGATTCTCCGGTGTACGATCTGTGCAAGGCGTGTTTGTGTAGCTCGCAAGACGCTTGAAATATTGAGTTAACGTGAGTTTAACTATAAAGAGCGCCGTTATTTTTCAACTTGATGATGATGATGATGATTTTTGTTATTCTGGCGCACACCCACAAAGGGGAATTGGCCAAGAACCGGGCGACAGGATGTTTAAGTGAAAGGTTTATGGTTTTACAAACACAAAGTAACTCTGAACTGGAAATACATACATATATATATATATATATATATATATATATATATATATATATATATATATATATATATATATATATATATATATATATGTGTATATCAAAAAAGCAGTATATCTGAGCAAGGATGCCGGCTATCAGATGTGATTTGAGACAGAGGTAGTGGTGGGTGCAAAACGAATGATATAAAAAAAGGCACACTAACATGGCAATCGCGCCCCGCCGCGGTGGTCTAGTGGCTAAGGTACTCGGCTGCTGACCCGCAGGTCGCGGGTTCGAATCCCGGCTGCGGCGGCTGCATTTCCGATGGAGGCGGAAATGTTGTAGGCCCGTGTGCTCAGGTTTGGGTGCACGTTAAAGAACCCCAGGTGGTAGAAATTTCCGGAGCACTTCACTACGGTGTCTCTCATAAGCATATGCTGTTTTTGGGACGTTAAACCCCACACATCATCATCAACATAGCAATCGCTTTGTTTCAAATATGTAGTCGAATACCGCAGAGCAGACGTCCCTGTGGCTATAGCCTAATGTAATGCTGCCAAACGATGAAATAACTGCCACATTTAATTTTAATCCTAATTTTTTAAGTGGAGCTACAAGGTATCTTTGCCGCTGATAAGAATATCTGTGAGAGAATAAAAAAAATGGTCTATCGTTCCCATTTCTTCGCAAAACTGACATAAAGGTGAAGCCTTTAGACCAACTTTATGTAAATAATAATTTAGTTGTGGAATTTTACAACGCAATTTGGTATAACTCCCAAATGCCGTGTTGCGCACCACTGTCTATTCCAGCAGCTTCTTAGATGTGCGAAATATCAAAATTTATCCAATGAGTAAGAGTTGATTTCATTATGCAAACAAGTGTTTCTAAACATTATTGCTGTCGCGTAAGCCATATCAGGCAAATTCGGGATAAGGAGACAGCCAAGAGATACTGTGGCTAGTGCATGTGCCATCTCAATGAGATGTATGCCACGATGGCCTGGTACCTATAACAGCTGAAGTTCTTGCAAGTTTGTCGGTATGAGTTACCAAAACATATGCATAAGTGCTAAGTTGGCTCCCGAATACAGAGCAGCACATACTGAAGAAGAATCTGTAATTACGACTGCTTCTGATTTGCCCGAAGAAAGTTTTCGCAGTGCCAGTACAATAGCAAATAATTCTGCTATGAATATTGGTGTATAATCTGGAAGCCTAACCGAAAACCCGCGCAAAAATAAAACATGTCTCTAACCTCGTTTTAACGAAGTACGATTACTGCAAAAAAAAAAGGGGGAAGTGAAGCTGGTGTTACGATTGTTGATGACGAGTATTGCCCAATTTTTTTTACGAACAATTATGACGTAACAGCTTTCTGGGAACAGTGTTAAATTCCTTGGTTAAATAACTCAGATGTGTCCTCTACGTTGTACTTCTTGGATATTCCTTTTTTTGTTCTATAATTTGTTTTCCTCTGTCAATCAAACAACCCTTTTTCAACGCGTGGACTCGCTGTCCGTTTTCTGTGCATAAGCAGCTATTCACTTTTGTTTGCTTAATTGAAAGAAAAAGAAAAAAATTGTTACCTAACAACGGTGATGGTTATTTCTATTTGAATTGCACAAATAAAAATTAACTAATTAATAATTAGAAGAAAAGCGAGCCCCATTATACCTTACAAGAGCGAACAAATTCCAGTAATGCATACTAGCCGAGCATACGTTCATCTAGTTCGCGGTACGTTCAAAAGAATTCATAATTACTCACTTTCTGCGTTTTGCACGCAGGAACCACGATATATATATATAGGATTTTGAAGCACGCCGTTGGAAGAGGGGAGGGGGTGAGGAGGCTGCGGAACCCGGAGATTAATTTTATACGCCTGGAGATGAGTGAAAACATGAATCGAGACTTCCGTTAGTGGGTGCTTCTGCACATTGCGCCCTCCAAAATTCGGCTGGGAATGATACCCGCGTCTTTGAAATCAGCAGCGTCATAGCACTTTTTTTTTAGCTGCGCTATCCCGGTCAGTTAAAGGAATGCATCTTTTAAGAAATGAACATATGTTTTCTAGCACCGCAGCACTGCAACACTAAAGTGCGCCTCGATAAGGCAACTTCAGTTACACGTACCTTGAGACTTCATGCACGCTAACGTGAAAAGTCTGCGTAGTGCCTTGCGTTCATGCCATGTGAAACGCTTTTAGCTGCATGTATAGTCGGCCAAAATTTTAAATATTGCGTGCAGCTGCCACTTTTTTGTCTCTCAGTGTGCTAATATAAAACGAAGGTAATTTTCAAAACATTGCTTCGTGACCATGTGCTTTGCGGGCATACACTTGTTCTTAATTCAACTGAAACTTAGTTCAGTCGCATGGCAAAGATTCAAACAAAAAAAACCACCACTCAAGCACGATACGTGAAGATTTCGTCGACTGCACGCTTATGCGACGTGTGCCAAGATGCACCACGTAACTACAACTGCCGCGATATTATGAACAAGTGGCAACTTGTTCGTGAAACCCCGCGTGAAACTGTTTGCGCACAAGAAACACTCGCAAAAAAAAGAGATCGGATTTCACGTACGTCCATCAGATCAGCGCTCTGCTTACCCGCAGTATTTGTATACGCACGCAAATTCTGGAAGTACCTGTATAACTAAAGCTGTCTATTATACGGTTTACCGCATCCCATTAGATGTGCTTCACCTGCGTGGTTTGCTCATATCACCGTGACGACCCTCTTCAACACCATAATCCTGGAGTGCGTCGCGTGCGCTTCTCTCAGGCAGCATTTTGCGCGAGAAATTTAACAGACCCGCGTCGGCCTTCACAACTCGGAAAATCTATGGGTCATTGCGGTAACATAGAGCAGAAAAGTTCGTATGTAAACTCATAAGGGGCCCAGAGGGAGAGGTGAGAATGGCGATGAAGGTAATTTATCTTTTCTTCTGTGGCACCGCACACTCAAGAGGTTCGAACTCCGGTGATGCGCTTACGGGTTTTACGCGATGTATTAGCTAGTTAGAAAAGGGATTTGGGCTCTGCGCGTATTTAGCACTCGGAAACAGTTATTATAACTGCGGGCTACTTTCGCCTTTTAAATCTGATTGAAGAAAAAAATTAACGTTACACGTTGTGCAGCATCGAAAACACATGCAAGTGTTCACCTTTTAGTGCAACGTGTATAATGCACGCCACTATCTTTGCTTATTATGCACACATTATAGACTCCTGGGCACGCCGACTAAACCGAGACCTTATTTTACACTACTTACAGTACTCTCCACGCTTGATTTTCTCAATTTGTGAAGCCTCCTTTTTAGAATCCTATTCACTTCCACTTTGATTGATTGATTTGTGGGGTTTAACGTCACTTCCACTTTGTGAAACGTAGCGGACAAAACCATCATGAGGTGACTTGACTTCTTTTATTGTGCCAATTTAAAACAAAGAAGATGAAAGGAACAATAAAGAATGAAATTTTTTCTTACCTGCCACCATGACTTCTCGGAGCACGGCATGGTAATCATACGTCCACTGTATCTTCTGCAAAAAACAAAAGACGTGGTCAACCACTGGAACGTATCCGAAAAGAATATCACATTGATAAGTATGACTGCACATAGTGTCTGAATATTAAACCACTAATACCCGTGCCACACAGGCATGGGAAATGACATTCGGTAGTGAAGGCATTCAGTCCTCGAATGACATTTTTTTTTCGGACGGAGCTGCTACACTTCCAAAATGAATCACGTTTGACTCGGATGATCTCGATCACACCATCTTCAGTAGTAAGCAATTGTAGAGTATAGTAATAGAAAAATGAACGTGCGTTTACAAGCTACATATACCTCTGAGAAAAATAAATGTAAATATAAGCATATTACAATGCCGTTGGATTTCGTTCGTTACTTTGTTTCACGACATTGCAACCGACGCTGTAGCAACTTAAGCCAACACTAGTCAAATCCACAGCGTAAAAAGAAAATGGCACCTGCATGTCGCATTTATTTCACAGCGTCTACCAGCTGAAAATAAGTTTTTAAGCACTTGTTTAGGTTTTTAGTGTAAATAAAATACGCGAGAAGTTTCCTTCAAGTCGAATCAAATGTCATTTTATACAATTACTTCATCAGCTCTACCGTCGAGAGTACGCATTTCTCAGTCGAAGGAGTTATGCCGATGACATTAGGTGACGAATGGCATTTCGGTGAATGCCATTACATTCATTCGTGTGGCACAGCACGAATTACATTGAATCTGGAGGCATTAGGAGGTAAATGCCATTTTCTCAGCCCGTGTGGCACGGGCATAAAACCTGTCTAGCTTACTTGACGGGACAATTCCAATTATTATTGCTAAGAGCTTCTACGTACTAAGATGGGTGTTTTATTTTTTAATTTTATTATAATCATGACTGACGGTTGTTAGTAGACAGAGTCCTTAAACGTTTATATCTAGTTATTTGTTGGCGTGCGTATCAGTGCCTGTGTTTGCGCATATTTTTCAGACGGTATATACCCCTTTAGAAGGGCGTCTTTTTTCTTACGCGGTATTTATTTGTACATTATTCTATTTTTATACGCCACAATTTACTCCCCTGAAAACAATTATAATCCTGAATTAAACGAGTATAGGGTGGCGTTCACAACCACAAACTTTATGGGCAGGTGTATACGCATTCGCAGCGTCATACGAGACTGCGGCTTTTCGCTTAAAATTTCAGTATCTATTTTTATTGAGGCGTCTTAGTCTATGAGAAATGTTATTGCCTTGGATTTGTCGGCACAGTAGATCAGCCAATTAATTGCACCATGCCGAATTGAAGAGACAGGACAGCAGAAAAAAAAGTACACAGCAAATTGTATTCGACATCGCTATCTTCAGGAGTGCCTACCGTTATCCTGAATATGAACAGAAAATAAACCAAGCACACGTTTGCACATATTAAGGACGCTTTCACACCACTGTTTTCCCATCACGCTCAATGAAAGACAGCTTAAACGAAATTGGTCACATGTTCGGCCCCAAAACATTATTTTTAGAGCCGAACATTCTTATTTTGTCACACTTGCTTCATTTAATACCGCCGCAACTAAAGAAATGGTGGACTACGCATGGAATCGCTCTTTCGATCGCAAAAGAAAAATGAGCAGCACAGTTATTTTTCGCTAAAGAAAAAAAAAAGCTTTTGAACCTACAGCCGGATGTACCAACTAACGCAAAGCAACTGCGCCGAAGAGAAGAAGCTCCGCGGAACCGTACAGGAACAAACACTGATCCCTGTTCTAGGATCATTGGGTCCATATATAAAAGGAGGCAGGAAATACATCTTAAAAGCGCTTGCTGGATACTTTCCCTTCCCCGATCTGAAAATACCACCACTTTCTAGCGTCGACCGTGAGGTGTAATAAATTGGCATTATCCTTGTCCTTCCTTGAGCCGGCCGTCGAGGCGTGAAAACGCGGTGGCGAACAGTGTACAGAGTTGCAGGACAGTGCTACGTACTTCTCTTGTCCAGGACTATAATTTCATCTTTCGTGGCGATGATGCTGCTGCGGCTGCGGCTCACGGGCACCGTCTGAGCCATTTGGCCACACCAACTGAAAGTGAAAGGCACAATGCGTAATGTTGCACACACACATACACACGTAAACAGACAAACTTGCTATTCGGAGACAGCTATGTTGGCTGACTCGAGATAGTTAGCCTAGCGACTGTTAGTTAAGATACAATGCGGTGACAGCGCATAACGGGGCACTTCTCGAAATACAGAATCGCAAAAAATGTGTTTGCGAATGGGAGGTAAAATCGTTCCAGGAATTTCCAGCCTGGTTTACAGCAACACGCTGACATACGCTTAAACGCGGAGCTGCGGCCGCGATACATGCACAGTGTGTATTGCTAAAGATCTCAGCGCTGCTATAACTGGCACTTAGATTTATACAAGCTACAAAAATACGTTTATGTAGGCCAATAAAAGAACACTACTAGTGTTAAAAATGCGTAAACTTTCTTGCACAGGCACAGTGTGCAGTTGTCGCGTGAATACTGTCAAAAGTTGCTGAAGGCTTGCTGACAACCTACAAAGTTCGCAGCTAAGTCAACTACTAGAAAAAAAAAGCACTGACCTACACAATCTCATATGGTAGTTTAACGTTAGCAACAAAAGAAATCCAATCAGTAAGTACAACCTATTCTAGTCTTAGCTAACCATCAACTATAGCACAAAAAGTATGCTCTTTAAATTGACTTACGGCTCTTCAGATTCAGTAGATGGCTTGTTGGTTCCTGTAAAAAAAAAGAAAATTGGGAACGTGAGGAAGTGATTAGATTACGCTGAAAAGTTGAAAACTATAGCGCTGCTTCAGGTAGTAATTCAGCAAAGTGGGTCGAAAATGACCCGAAAACTTGTACACAGCACAGTGATTCGAGCAGAATAACAGGACTCCCCCCCCTCCCCCCCCCCGCGGGAGCTTCCACAATTGAACTGCACAATTTATTACACACACACAATAACCAATTCCTTTTTAGAGCAGCCAACCTATGTGCACAGCTACCCTAACAAACGTGTATAACTCCTTCGTTATAATACGACATATCTGGTATAATGCAATTTCCAAAGTGGCGCACGACGAAAAAAGAATGGCTTGCGCAAGGCAACAAACATTAAACGCAGCGATATTGCCTCACTGCAAGTATTGCCTGAAGGGTATACGAGCACGAGTTTCTTCGCAGCAACCGCCATGTTCGCAAGCCTTGTCCGGGCGCAGCCGGGCGCGTTTTTACACGAAGCGTTTCTTCTCTCCAAGTCTCAAGCACTTGCGCGTGAAAGTCGATTGCGCACCGCCATCTTCGGAAGAGAACACCGGGCGCTGCTTGAACCGCAGGTGTACCGGCGCAGGCAGTGGCCGAAGAGGGGCACGGAGAAACTGGTGGGGGACAAAATAGGTTTCACAGACGTTCCCCCAGAGCCGGCGCCAGGCTTAAGTGGGCGTTTCGTGCCAGCTGTCGCCCAAACGTCGCCGTATTCCTGGCAAGCTATTTGGAACATGTGCTTTTCAGTTACGTTTTCATAAGCGCTCGTGCCACGCCGGTGAAAGCCGAGGGAACGAAAACAAATGCGCCCCCCTCCAAGCTTCGATCCTGAAAGACGACCGCGCGGTTAGCTGCGTCTGAATGCTCATTAAACGACAGCGGCTGGCTGGCACGGGTACTTCATTGTGTGGCTGAGTCTTGACGAAGCTACACAACGCCGAGCACAATCGAACGCAGAAGTCGGCACGCCATGTTCTTTTGACGCGTGGTTGTTACTGCATGCGTCTCGTTGTTCGCCTGCAGCACAACTGCAGAGAAAGACACCGTGGAGCGGACTCAAAACGCTTTCGATATAATACGTGGGAGTTCCAGAAGAACGCAATTGTGCAATGTGAAGGACAATGACGTGCACCATTTATCTTTCATTTTCTGAAGAAGCACATTGAAATGGCAAGTTTAATATTTGACTTCGTAATAATTAGAGACGTGGGCTAAAGATCGTATCAAAAGAAAGAAGTGAAGCCTTTTTCTTAAATTGGGCATCTTTAACTTTCTCTATCAAGCTTTTTTAATCATGGAACGTACGCGTTTGAATTATGTTTATTTAAATATCAACGTGGTATGTACTGGCTTGCCCCGACTTCACATTTTATGCACTGTCAGACAGAGCGTATCGAGATGTTAATGCTTTTAAGAAAGGAAAGAAAGAAAGAAGGAAGAAGAAAGGACCGATATAATTGTGTGCTGGGTCATCAAAATTTGAGTACATTTCTCCTAAAATTTTAAAAGTGCACATGAAAACCTGTACCTGTAGAACTGATTAACTTTTCAACACCACTGGGTAACGGTTGACAATGAACACCAACAATAAAGGGAATACTGCAAGTGAGCGTGGAATTGAGCTGCACAGGTTCATAGCGTTCTGAAACTTCCTATTCTCAAAGTCATTACGTATTAGCAGAAAATGTTGACAGCCAAAGCGGACATTACATTTCGGAATTCTTTACAGTTCGAGCACAGGCGGAACGTTAAGGCCCGCTTGACGTTAACATTTCGCAATCTTTCCGCGAACCACAGTGCTTTTGTGGGCGACTGCAAAACTAGGCATTATGAGTCAAACGTGTGTTTGCACGCCCACGCAGTGCACTCGTAGAGTTTATTAGACACCTTTAGATGGGCGGGCGTAACAAGTTTACGTACGCACTATGGCTACTGATGAGAAGTGCGCATGCGCAGAACTTGACGTATCTATTCCACGGATGCGAGCATTCACCCCCCCCCCCCCCAAAAAAAAAAAGAAAACACGGTGCACGCAAACGTGAAGTTACGTAGCGTTGACCACGTGACACGCTGGCCAGATCTTGAATGAAACAGCAGCCTTATTGTTGTATAGTGACACAGCATATAAAACCGTGGATCCAACGATTCCGTTTGACTTAGATGGACTTGGATGCCAGTGGCCGTTGACACGGCCGCTATACCACACGATGACGCTAGGCAGCACTCAAAATCTGTTTTATTTCCGGTAAGATACGTCTAGTTGAGCGAAACGCATCCTGGTGTGGTTGACACGGTAAACGAAAGGCGGTGTTCAGTGCTTTGCTTGCAGCGTATACGCAACGTATCGTGCTGCGTACGTAGGACTGTTGATTACGCCACACCAAGAGTGCTTATTAGATCTGATAGCATGAAACTATAGCTTGCGATATTGGTTGACAGGTATATAATTGACACGTAACAGTGAATCGCTTGAGGTATTCAGGAATGCTCATCAATTACATAGATTTTAAAATATTTAGCATTTGTAAATATGCCCAATCAGCAATTTCGTTGAACGTCCTGCAAGTTGCAATCGCTGCCCATCAATTGCTATATTCAAGCAGAACTTACGTTACAAGGGGTTATAAATACGTATAGGTTTGAACAGTTAACTACGAAAATGCAGAGCTGTGTTAGCAGGAAAAAGACAGCCTTACGTCATCGAAACGGGTCTCGTACCTTCGGTAGTGCTGCGCTGCATTCGTCGACGGAACCACACCAGCAGGATTATGGCTACGATAATCAAAATGAGAAACAAGACGAGAAGAAGCCAGTGCAGGATGGAAAATCCGAGTGTCCAAGTGGGAACTGCAAAGAGAACAAGACAGAAGTTTCACAACAAATTACTCTTTCCAGTTATAAGTGAAGTTTTTAAACGAACAGGGTATTTTACTACAACACAACTACGAATCCGACTGGTCACGGCGTGCCGCTCTTCCTTCTTTTTTTTTCAGATAGAAATCTTAATGATATCCTTGAAGATGTTAGCCAAATTATATTCACGAAAATGAATAGCTGAGATAGTTTGTAAGATACTACTTCTTCCTCACTTGTATCGTTGTTCTTTTGCGACACCTGCTTTAACATGAGCTATCTGATATCCTATATTTTAGAACTATTTTACATCTTACATGGGGACGACGACGAAGTGTCTCTTCATAGAACGCTTCTGCTTTCGGCTCCGAGCATTGTTATCAAGTTTTTCGCTTTTTACGGGAGACGCTGCTCCCTGCCCCAAGGCGACGGACGCGGAGTCATCCACTGGTCCGCCCAGCCAGAGGTCTGCTATGGCGAGCTCCTCGGTAAATCAGCGCGCCTGGCCCAGAACCAGTGAGGCCAACGGTGATAGTCACTGCATCATGGCTGTGGACGTGGAGCCTTCTGCGGCTCTGTCCGACCATAGACCACCTTTGGCAAGCTCGTCGCGGAAACGAAGCACCTGTTCGAGCACCAGCGAGGACACGGAACTGTACTCGGCCACTGGCGACGACTCGTCGGATGACGACTTCGAGACCGTGAGAAGCAGGAAGGCCAAAAGAAGAAGTATCAAGTCGTCTTCACCAGCAGGGACATTAACGTCTCAGTCAAAAGGAGAATGCTGGCCGCACACCATCCTCTTCATGCCCGAGGACTCCACCATCAGCCTTCGAGCAGTAAACAGGCAAGCTCTCTCTATGTACTTTGAGGGGGTAGCACCAAACGACATTAAGGATATCCGGGTGAACACGCGGAAGAATATTCTAGCTGTGGACACAATGACTGCCAGCGCCATAGACAAGCTTCGCAGAGTATCAGATTTGGGAGGCATCAAAGTTCGACCGGTTATTCCAATGGACGGTGCCTGCACGGCGGGAGTAATCTACGACATTGATTTGGCCATAGCAAATTCGGACCTCCCAACTCTCATAAAACCAGCGAACGAAGGAGTTCTCATCGCGAATGTACTTCGCCTCGGAAACACCCGATGTGTAAAGATAATGTTCAAAGGAGATTCCATTCCGTCGCATGTCAAAGTGGGACACTTCCGACATCCTGTTCGACCATTTGTCCCTAAACCACTCCAGTGCCATAACTGCATGAAAATTGGTCACATCAAGAGTGTATGTACAAACACCACAGCATGCCCCCGATGCGCTGAGCCGCACACTGCAGACGCATGTCGGGCAACAAGTCTGAAGTGCAGAAACTGTGATGGTCCGCATGATGCTGCATCCAAGGAATGCCCTCGGATTAAGAAGGAAATCGCCATTATCAAACAAATGGTTAGGGACAATTCAACCCACAGAGAGGCTGCTGAAAGGGTACGGCGGCGACGTAGTCGCCGACGGAGGCGTGTAGGACAGAGTGTTGCGCATAACCCATTTCCTCCGAGCACGAGTGAAGTAGTAAGCACGAAGCGAAATGAAGTGGAGAAGCTCACAGCTGCGGATGAGTGGCCTACGCTTCCGCGTACGCAGCCGGCAAAGGAGCCTCCTGCGAGGCCTCGCCGCCCTACACCTTCCACCGAGTCTACTTCCGTTGAGGATGTGTCAAGGGTCGATCGACAGATCATCCCGATGTTACGATCCCTCGTCGCTGTCATGGCAGACATACTAAGAAGCCTGGGAACTCCAACCGCTCGAAGCGGGTTACAGGTGTTGGACGCGCTGAGCCCAGTCCTCGCCTCCCTCGCGTAGAGTCATGGCAGGAGATCAACAATCGTTCCGCAAAGACGTCAGAGAAGCATCAGTCATCCAGTGGAACGCAAGAGGACTTAGATCACGGATTTCCGATTTTCGTCAGTACGTGTTTTCTAACCGTTTCCCAATCATCGTAATATGCGAACCGAAATTATCAAACCCGATCAGGCTATCCGGCTACGAATCAATCCCGTCCAAAACCCGAAACGAAAGCAGCAAGGTCATTGTGTATATTCGCCGGGAGCTTACCTACATCATTCAACCTGTGTCGCCTCATGATGAGAACCAATATATTTGCCTGACTGTGAAGCAGAAAACCCTCACCTTCACATTAATAGGTGTCTACTTATCTCCCTCAGCCCGTTTTGATTGCCAAAGACTGGATGACATTCTTTCGAGCGTCCCGGATCCGTGGATAATTATAGGGGACTTCAACGCCCACCACCCAATCTGGGGAAGTTCAAAAGTCAATACCACGGGCCGGAGGCTGGCTTCATTTGTATCGACTCATGAACTGTCTCTACTTAATGATGGGAGCCCTACATTTCTGCGAGGATTAACGTACAGCAGCTGTTTGGACTTGACGTTCGTGTCACGTCGCTTCGCCACAAGCGTTAAGTGGTTTTTAGACATCGAGACACATGGTAGCGATCACATCCCCAGTTATCTCACCATCGAAGGCTTTGCTAGCAACCACCCGCCGAAAACCGTACGGAGGATCGATCTTTCAGCATTCACAACCAACATTGAACACGCTTGTGAAAAAGGCTTAACCTCTGGCATTGAGCAAGCGATCAAACAAGCAGCGCAGAGTGCGATGCGCACGCTGGCATATTCTTCAAGGCCCTCAGAAACGGACATGGAGTTAGAGCGACTCCGTGCGATTCGTCGGCGTGCGGAGCGTAGATATCGACGCACAAAATCCATTCAAGATCTACGGATGGCCAGGCGCATGCAAAAGAAGATTCCAGCGTCGTATAGACAAACTGGAGTTTCAACGGTGGGCGAAATTTTGCGCGAGTCTAGACCCTCGCAAACCGCTTTCTCAAATATGGCGAACCGTGCGAGGCCTACGCATATTTCCCCAACAACGTTTTCCGTTTAAAGCCTTGGCCCTTTTCCAAAATAGAAGGGATATCGAGGTAGCGGAAGACTTTTGTAGGAAGATTGCGGGCCCGCCAAATTGCACAGAAGCCCTTACTGCTGATTACACGCCACATTCACTGGACCCGCACCTGGACCTGCCTTTTTCAATGGAAGAACTGAATGTGGCTCTTGCTTCATGCAATCGATCGTCATCGCCTGGGCCGGATGGCATATCATACCGCCTATTATGCAATCTCGGTGATCGAGCACGAAGTGCTTTGCTGGAAGTATTCAATGAGTCTTGGAGAGATGGAACGGTCCCCAGAGAGTGGAAAACAAGCCGGTTGGTTGCACTTCTCAAACCTGGAAAATCGCCTCTAGAGCTGACATCATACCGCCCAATAGCGCTGGCTAGTTGCGTAGGGAAGCTGATGGAGCGAATGATCCTTGCCAGACTCGAGTGGTTCCTAGAACGCCATAGAATATATCCAGACGCCATGGCCGGTTTTCGTCGTCTTCGGAGCTCCATTGACAATGTCATTGACCTGGTGACCTACGTACAACACCAGAAAATGAGCAGACGGTTATCTGTCGCACTATTTTTAGATGTCAAAGGAGCATATGACAATGTTTCTCACGAAGCCATACTTGACGCCCTCGAGTCAGTTGGTTTGGGTGGGCGAGTGTACCGCTGGATCCAATGCTACCTACATATGAGATCATTGTTTATGCAAACTGATGATGGGCCGACTTCTGAACATTATACACACCGTGGTGTTCCTCAAGGTGGTGTATTGAGCCCCACACTGTTCAACCTGGTTCTGATCGGTCTCGTTGAACGCATACCAGATTCCGTGCAGATATCTCTCTATGCAGATGATATTTGTGCCTGGACATCAGGTGTAACACGTCCTCAGGTACGTGCGAGACTCCAGAAAGCAGCGAATTCAATATCGGCGTACCTTAGAGAACAAGGCCTCGAGATTTCTCCTGAGAAATCGGCGCTGGTCGCGTTCACGCGGAAGGCAATGACGTCATATCCCATCGCCATCGATGGACACAGTGTCTGCTACGCCAGGACCCACAGGTTTTTGGGGGTCACGATCGATCGAAATCTCTGCTGGAGTCCCCATGTGGCCACTCTAAAGAAGCGCCTAACGGCCATCGCACAACTTTTCAAGTTCCTCGGAGGCAAAACGTGGGGCACATCAGTGCACGCGATGTTGCATTTGTACAAAACGCTGTTTCTGGGGTACCTGCGGTATAGCTTGCCGGTTCTGACGAACGCTTGCAAAAGCAATATACGCACAATAGAAAACGCCCAGGGCCAGGCACTCAGAGTTTGTCTTGGATTACCACGCTGTACATCAACAGCGGAAACCATCGCAATCGCCAAAGATCATCCGGCCACAGTGCACATTACTTTGGAGGTGCTTAGAGCTCATATTAGACACCTTGCTCGCGCCCCTGCCCACCACCTAGCTTCGCTTCCAGAAGATCGACCGAGTGCCTCCTTCTGTAAGAGAGTATTGACTTTCCGTGAGTGCCTTCCAACAGTCTACACGCCTCCGGAACGGATACTAACACCTCCTTGGTGCTTGGACCGACCAAAACTGCGCTTGACAGTGCCGGGGATTCGCAAGAAGGCGGAGCTCTCGGCGCCAGCTTTAAAGCAGATGATTCTACTCATGCTACACGAAGAATACAAAGATCATGTCAAACTTTACACGGATGGCTCGACAACTGTTGGAGGATCTGCAGGAGCTGTGATCTTCCCAGCAAGAGCCGAAACCATCCAGTTCAGAACGTCACACAAGACGACATCGACAGCCGTGGAGCTCGCGGCACTCCGCAGCGCACTCCGCAGGATTGACCAAGAGACACCACAAAAATGGAGCATTTTTACTGATTCGAAACCAGCTCTCCAATGTCTACAAAATGCTCTACGTCGTGGACCTCAAGACCAATTGGCGCTCGAAATACGACAACTGTACCATCACCTAAAAGACGAAGGACATGACATATCTTTTCAGTGGTTACCAG